AGCCACTAACCTCAGTTTCACGCTTCCCCAAACACTTTTGGCTTCTTCAACTGCAATCCAAACATAGCCCTAATCTGTCAACCTATCAAAAAATAAATAGTTAGAAAGTCGGTAATTTTGACCAACTTGCGAGTTAACACGCATTCGTCTTATATAATTTATTTGGTATTTTTAATAAACTATTTTAAGAAAAAATAAGAATTTTATTATATTTTTTGTACTATTAAAAATAAAAAATAAAAAAATAAATATGACCACTAGAAAACAGATTTTTTTAGCCCGCACGGCACCATATCGATTGAGGTCATCATGAGTCAACGGGAATTAGCCGCATTATCACCCCAGTCTTCATTCACTTTTCTGAACGCATGGTTATTAATAATTCAAGGGGGCAAGCTTTGACTCGGTGTCAGACCATCCCTCAAAAGAATTATCCCATCCCAGCCGACTCCGTACATCTATTCACAGGATTTTAAGAGGTGTTTGGAAACACTTTTATGTGCATGAAATTTTATCGCATGGCATATTGTTTTAGGGATTTTAATCATAAATAATCAACGCTTCAATGTCAAATAAAATTCACATGTCAACAAGTCGTTTGGTTCAACTACTGCCAAACAACTTTCTGTGACTTAAGCAAAGGATTTCTTTCCCCCGGTCGAATGGGAAAAAAAAAAACAAAGTAAAAAAACCCATACTATTATAATATTATTGTCAAAATCCATACTAATACTGTCATAGGTCTTTATTTATATTTTTTTTTTATTTTAGCCGTCTTTTTTGCTTTTTTTTAAATATTAAAATTCAAGAGTTATTTTTTTGAATTTTTTTTAAAAAAGTAAATAATATAAAATTCATTTCAAAACACATCCTCCGATCCGTTTGTTTCAATCTCCCACTAGAGCACATCCTACGGTCATGGTTGTTTGAATCGGAAGGCTCTGGATCAGCCACGCCACCCGATGTTCCAGAATTGCCGCCAGCTAGGCCTGTCAGAGTAGATAAACCCATGTACGAAAAATTGGTCCCCACTTCCCACATGCTTTTGCTGATGCTGGGTTTTGTGGCCCCCACGATGACGTGTCACACGCAGGTGGACTCTGAATGGCTTCGTGGGACCCACTGACAGGAAAATGAAGGTTGCGTGGCCAGCTCACCCATCACGTCTCCGACCCTTTATGGGCATGACAAAGTGGACCAGCTGTCGTTGAAGTTATATCCACGTGGGCTAGTATTATTGGCAGTCCTGCATCCACGTTTCCTTCTGGGGCACTATCGAGATTTCACAGAAACATTTTATTACGGAAAGAATCCCATAATCATGCCAAACAGAGAAAGGGGAGAATATATAATACTGCATCCGGTCCTTAATATAAGACTCTGTTTGATTTTTTGTTTGATCCTAATTATAAGACCTCAATTTATTTTGTCTATCATATTTATGTATTCTTTTTTCTAAGATAGTCTTTCTAATAATGATAGTTCTAGCCAATACACTTAATTAGCAAGGATATTTTAGGAATGATAACACTTATTTATTACAAATAACTAATTTAACTTACTTCATTAATCCCCTCAAATAAGTCAACTGGGTCTTATAATTAAGACCGGAGCTAGTAATACGCTTATTTGCCAGCGCCCCAATCTTTTGGCATTAAGCATTTTGGCATCATATTTTTAGTTATATCTAAAACTTTAATTTAAAAATTGTTGCGTGTACTAAAATTAAAATCAGAATCCACGTATCATAAGATACGTATTTATATTTATACTGTGTCCCAAAATTTTAATTGTACGATTCTATTGTCTAAAAATGCTTACTCAATAAATGGCATGGCATATTTTCAAGAAGATGCCGCTGGTTGTTTAAGAAAACATGCTTGGCTGTATGTGAATATTTTTATAAAATACCACGGTTTAGTATGCTATAGTTTCCAAGAAATTATATTCAAATACACATGGTTGTTCTTCTAAAACAGCCAGAACAAATATTTTTACGTAAGTTGAGAAGATTTATTCTGCATATTTATTTTATATGCAATAAAATTATTTTTAAAAACTAAAAAACTAATCCAAATACTATTGTAACAGTCTGGGTAGGATACTACGGGGTATTTGGAAAGAAACAAAATCATAACTTCAAAAGTACTTTTACAATATATAAAGTAAATATGTGAAAGAGTTTATCTTGATTCACAAAAAAAATGCTTTTCACTTTTTGTGATAACCAAACACCTCGTATAATTAAGTCTGAAGATTTGAACCCAAAATTGAATTGATAATTATTTTACTAGAATTCATAATTATATTGTCATGTGCTAATTGCTTTTTGATATTTGAAAACTAAGTTTTTTTTTTTTGCAGCTAAATTTCCTGACTTTATAGGACTGAATTTATTCCCCCAGCACCCGCCAATCACAACTAACGATAATGTAAAAGCGATTTATTTTTCTTGTTATGTCCAGAAACAAGATAAAGTGCTAAATACTCCTCCGGTCCTTAATATAGGACCCAATTCTTGAGTTGGTTTTGGTCTTAAATATAAGACCCATTTATCATATTTATCAATTTTCTCTAAATTACCCCTATGGATGCTCCTTCAACCATAATTAAGTAGAAGAGGGAGTGGGGGTATTAAGAAAGATGATCATGGTGTTTTAGGAAAAATGTATCATTTTTCTTATAATTAACTAACTTACCTAACTTCCTTAATCTAATCAAATTGGTTAAATGGGTCTTATATTAAGGACCGAAGGAGTACATAACATCTGTCTCAGTCTAACAAGCAGTAATTTAAGTTAAATGAAAATTTCGAGAATGGAAAATAATCTTAATTTAGAAGGTGTTTGAAAAATTTTATAAATATTTTAAAAAATACTCTCATATAAATTGGAACAAAACTCTTTTCACCTACTTATTTCGTATTTGATAAAACTAAACACACATTTAAGCAAGCAATTTGCAATGGCAAGCTGGGGGAGAGCAAAGACTTGGGATGTTTGGTTTAATTCAAAAGTATTTTTAAAAAGTATTGTTATATAAATTAAAATAAAATAAGAATAAAATTACTCTGAAAGCTATAATTTTATTTTCATCTAAATAATTTCAAAAAGTGAGGCACGCATGTGGTTGGGCCAAGTGGGGAATGACGTGACGCCAACGTAAGAGATCAACGCTGGCCGTTGATTTGCCTGGCGCTATCGACGGCGACGCGCTTTTCGCGCTGGATTGATGTGCTTCTGACGTGGTGCATTCTTTCTTTTCCCCATCGCCGACAGGATGACGTGGCTCCAGGCACAAGGCTTGATAAGTGGGGCCCTCTTGACGTGGACGTTCATCTGAAAATTCAGATCACATGGCCGGATAAGGCAGCTCCCCATTCAAACTTATCATGTTTTAAAATAGTTAATCCACATTTTAGCTAGTTTATGTGAAGATATTTTTAATTTTATTATATGATAAGGCGCATTCATTCACTGTATTGTGGTTTAAGTGAGGCTAGTTATGGAGAGAAAACAGGGTCTTCAATACTTTTTTCATGTGCTTGTAAATTTTAAGAAATTATTCTTTCAAATGTAAATATTTGCAGTCTTCTCTTACTTGGATTATTAATTGTCTGTCTTCTCTTTTGGCAATCAATCACTATGGAACTGTTTGACTAGAAACAAAATCATGATTTTAAAAATATTTTTACAGTATACGAAATAAATATGTAAAGTAATTTGCCTTAATTTGTAAAAAAATATTTTTAAAAAGCATTTTGAGGTTACCCAAATACCCCTACATATTTTAACTTTCATCAAACAATTGACACATATTGGCAAGTCAATAGAAGGAACAAGTGGAATAATTATTTAAGATATTCTTGTTTTTGGCAAATTGTTCTCTAACTTCGATGTTGTACTCCTCCGGTCCTAATTATAAGACCCAATTGACTTATTTGAGGAGATTAAGGAAGTAAGTTAAGTTGGTTATTTATAATAAATAAGTGTTGTTATTCCTAAAATATCCTTGCTAATTAAGTATATTGGTTAAAACTATCATTATTAGAAGGATTATCTTGGAAAAAAATGTATAAATATAAGAGAGAAAATGGATTGGGTCTTATAATTAGGACCAAATAAAAAGTCAAATTGGGTCTTATAATAAGGACCGGAGGAGTAGTTATTAATTTTTTTGTCTTCTGTTTCTCTGATTTTTCCTTTGCCACTCATGTACATATAATGTTACTTTTTTTTTCCCCCTTATTAATGGATTAAAAAATAGAGGTTTAGTGCGGCTCAAAATTACAATCCACAATGACCGGTCCAATAAACTTAAAACATAAGATTGGGTTTTCTGGAACTTCAAACATAAGGCCCAATCCAATACATCTTTTAATCCCAACAAGAAATAAAAGATCTCTTCATTGTTCTGTATTATACTATTATTTGGACTTTTTCTGTTGCCTGGCACACATTAGCAATACCCGATTGTTTTCCCTGAACATGGATTCATTTCTATTGGTAAAATACCTAATAAGGTTAATAGAAAAATTTATTGTGCTGTTATAAAACCAGCACTGTTATATGACAACGTTGGACTTTAAAAAGGATAAGTAGAGCATAAAAGTTCCTGGTCTAAAATCAAAAAGCAGAGCATAAAAGTGGGGTGGCATAAGCTTTCTTCTTTTCTCTCTTCACGGCATCAATGCAACTTTTCTTTTGAAGCAGCTTAAAGTTACTTCAACATAAAAAGTTTGATAGGCTTCAAAGCGCATTGTTAAAAAAGCCATGCTGAACATGTTGGAAAGACCAGAAGCAGCTCTTTGAAATTTGAGATGTGACTTTTCTGAGTTTCTCTGTTTTGCAGTGATTCAAACACATCCTACACACACACATGCGCACACTAATAATTGTAAGACAACTTATAGTTTTACGCTAATCCTCAACTTAAACGCTCAGCATGTTAGCAGCAAAAGATTGCAAATGACACAACTAAATTAACGACCATTCGTGTCATGTTGTCACGTAAAAACTGTATAGTCAAGTCAATTACATTCAATCAAAGTAGGATACCGTACACATACACAATGCAGGCTAGTTACTTCACGTCCTTTGTTATATGAACAATCTTTGTTTTGATTCTTTCAAGTCCAGAAAGGGAAACAAACATACTCTTTATCCAATATATATGGAAAGAAGAAATCAATTGGGAAATTCTAAGATCACTAGACATTGAGCAGGAGCATAGTCATTCTCAAGAACGGGCCGAGTTCTTGTCACAGAAGCAACTGGCATTTTACTCTCACCAATCCAGAATGTATCAAAAGGCTCACATCTTTGAGAATTCTCCTCCATTCTTCTTATCTTCCTCATCTTCACTAACCTAGCAATACCCACAAAACACAGTCCCACAACCGTCATCCCCACAATTCCCAACCCTAACCCTACTTTCCACCATATCCTATTTCCCCTCACAACATTAGATTTCGTTTCCATTGGGACCACAAGGGCATAGTGCCCTTGGCTTGGTGCTTCACACTCATATGATCCACTCATATTGCTAAACTCTGTGAATCCCTTTTCATCAAACTTAGCACAAATCAGTCTGTCATAACTTTTACCCCCTTTTGGATTAATCTGATGGGGAAATCTAAGAGCTATTGGATCTCCTAGGATGCTAAGGTGCATCTTCTTCTTCTTCTTAGGGTCGATTAAGGTTCTGTTTGAGGAAACATGGGCCATGAAACCAAGAACAGGAGGAAGTATCGTATGGTTAGGGACATTGAAGTATTGGGAAGACAAGTTTCCAAAGCTTGAATATATCATAGCCATTCTTTTCTCATTGGGTTCTGGTATGATTCTGGGTGGGAAATGGACGAAGCTACAATTCAACCCTCTTGCCCAGAAAGTAGAAGTTCTGATCCTAACTATTGAAACTTGGATTCCCGAGAAATTAGCAGGAAGGCTGACATTGTACAATGTACCTGTATGAGGATATGCGATTTCTTCGTTTACATTGTCAAGAACAAATTCATCAACGGATCTGGGGTCGCAGGTGTTTGCAGATTCAGCCAGGAAAGGCAGTGAGAACAGGCAGACATCAATAATAATAATGGTATCAATCAAACATGTTATCTGCAGTAACTTATAAAACCCCATGGATGTGTCACCCCAGAAGAAGCCTTCCTCTTCTGCTGTTTCTGAATCTGATCATGTCAGATTCTTGAATCGCCTTCATTGAATCTTTTCCTTTTTCTTCTGATTTCCTCACATAGAAACAAATTTTGAAGGAGAACTCAGGATCATATTTCTTCAATCAACCAGTCCAAGCTGAAAAAATTCAACCTTGAACAGATGATTGATGGGGAGTATCACAAGAGAACAGGATTGAAGATCCAAAAATCTAAATCTTTCAGCTCATATCCCATGCATATATGTTCGTCGGAACGCCATTGGAATTTCCAAACAGAAGATATAAAGCGATGTGAAAAATGAGCGTCAGAGTGTTTGCTTTTAATCAAATTTTTTAGTCCCTAAAATAATAAAATAATGCACTAATATTGAATATATACAGTAATAATAAGGAGCAATGATATATTGCTCGTTATTATGGTGTATGTCTGCTCATTATTGGCTTCTACAATTTAAGAACATAGAGGTAGATCAGTCCCATTAGATGTGTACTGCCAAGCAAGAATCTTCAAAATCCTGAAGTGAACATTCCATCGGGCGGCAAAGAAACTAATATTCTACATGGAAGTTCTTATAGAGCAATAAAACTTTATTCTCTAGGTAAATTTCATCTCTCAAATACAACAACAATCGATATATTTTACTTAAACATTCAACTAATTGAAGATTAAAAATATTAACACTTCTATGACCGATCACTTTGCTAAGTTATCATGTAGGATGGGAAGGAATTATTGATCTTTGATCAACTTCCATCTTTCTTAATGTGAGATGAATGTTGATGAAAGAAGCCCTTTTCTCTACTTATTGTCTTGACTTTGTTTTCTTCTAATTAATGGATGTACAGTTTTTATTAAAAAAAAATCTACGCCTTTTTATCATTAGATAACACTTATCTGCGTTTAGATCCGTATACTCTTGTTGTAAATACATGCTAGGAGTGAATCATATGTAAATTGAGGTCGTTGACATGATTTTCTTTCTTTTTTCAGATTGATCCAGTTTCGTTTTTATTTTCAATTACATCACGATATTTGAACTTTCTTTTTCTAACCACTGTTGGCACCCCATTCAACTCAAATAGTAAGGCAAAAAAATTTGGTTTAAAATTTTTTACCATTTGAAAATTTCACGTATATATTTAACTCTTTTCCTCTCCCTTCCTGTGCATGTGCAGACACCAGAAATACTCAATAGCAGCTTTACTTCCCACCCTGAGTGCAGCTTTAGGTCTCTTCTGCTAGGTAAGAAAACCAATTTAACATTGTAGATGGAAAGGGTCATTTCAGTTTTTTAAGTACCAAATAACTCGATTTCACAGCACCCTATTCCTACAAATATGCCAAACTGCGAGAGCTAAATCCACCATTTGCGTTCTAAAGGCAAAAATTTTGCCGGTGAGCTCGTAACTCATAGGGAGTGACCAATATTTACAAGGATTCAATCTTATTCCAGGTCCCTCCCAACTCTCAAGGCCCTTCGGCCTCTTTTATAACCCAAGAAAAGTAAGATTTTCTAGCGAAGATCAATGTTAACTCCTCAGTTACCAGTTAACACCATTGCCATGCGTATTAAATCTGCAACATTATGTCATTCAACAATGAAGCGGGGTGATGATACATGTGGTTGAGATTGAGAGGGATTCTACTCTATATCAGAGGATAGAACAAATGACTCTTATACATGGAGATACAGTGAAACAAAAACACAAGATGATTTCATTGCACCACTGATACAGTTTATTCAGTTCCAGCAATCTTCTTCTTCAGTGCCTCAATGTCCGTGGCTAGTTCCTTTCTGCTAGACTGAGGAAGCAAAATCATATTATTGGTAAGAATTACATTGTCTAAGATACATGAATCAGCAATAAAAAAATTGGATTTCTGACAGCAGAAAAAGAATACTATATAAGTATTTACATAGGAAACACATGATTAGAAGTCACAAAAACATTTTTAATATGGGCAGACTTCAAGAGAGTAATGTAAAATTTACAGCGTTTGTCTTGACACCCCGAAAACTTAAAAGCTCAAAATATTTAGCAAAGCTCCATGATCAGTTTTTCTTATAACTCCTAATAGTTCCTCTGTCATATAAGTTGCAAACAAGCATAGACATGTTATACGTAGACCTAAAGCCTTATTCCAGACTAAACTATAGATCACTTGGTTATAAAAGCTTCAACGTGCAAGTAAGACTTTCAACTCAAAATTTTATGTTTTTTAAGTGATAATATATAAACGAATTTTATTATCATCTCTATATAAAAAAGAACAGAACTATTTACATTTATGTAAACTCAGGAAGGGCTGGCATTCAAAACTACCACTTATGGGGAAATAGCAAAATATTTTTGATTAAAAAGCATTAGAAGATTCATGTAGTGCGTAATCTACCTTAAATAGGAGGTACCGGTAGACAAACCAGCCAGTGTATCCTAGCCCTACCAACTCCATAATCTTTGGAAGCTGAAACACAAAGTTATCTCGAACTTCAGACTGATTCACAAACATTGTAGACTATAAAAACAGAAGCATATGCAAGATTGCTAATATGTCCACAACATAAGGGCATTACCAAGGGGACCGAGTTGATGGCGCCCACGAGAATGGAAGACAGCCAGACAGCGACTATAGCTCCCCCGCCATAAAGAAGTACTGTACTCTTGTTTTCAACAGCATCCCACTGATAATGATAAATGCAGGACATTATTTTCCTCATGGGTTACAAGACAAATGTTGACTCAGAGAGGATTGGAATCTCAAGACTAGGGATTTTCCAAACAAATTGGAGGACTTTTTTTTTTTTTGGTTTCCTAAAAAGAAAGATTCTTTGCAACAGTCAAATGTTAAACTTCTTGCCTTCTCCTTCAAATCCGTGAATAGCTCGTTGGCATCTACAGGACTAGACGTGTCGTCTGAAGATGCCCTGGTCTGAAGCAGGAAAGATTTCCGGGACTCTGAAGGATTGAGAAATATAAACGAGTTACTTGAAGAAAAACAATAACTAAATAAATAGGAGTGAACTCAGTAATTTAAGATCAAGAACTTGGAACCGACAACAGATAATTGCTCTCTTAAAAGGAGGACAGAGTCCTTGAACCCAATGTTTACGAATGCTTACCATGAGTGAATGAAAAATGTTTGTTGGATTTACTTATGTCTATGAATCTCTCTAACAATTACTTGTTTCCGGGGATTCATAATCACATGCACATTCAGAATTCACATTATAGACTCAGTGTAAATGCCCGGCTTATAATTTAAATAAAAAAAAGCATATCTATTCCGTATCATATTTACAACCGTCAATTCCAACTAGCTCAACCTTTAGAAGTACGCATTACAATTACAAGCAACTGTGTATATTGTACCTAAAACACCATCCCGTGCAATCCTCGGATCATCACCAAATAGGGGAAATCTGACCCATGACTTGGCATTGAAATAGAATCGAAATCGAAAGTCAGAAGAAACAAAGAAATACCTGAGAAGTGCTTGAGAGAAGGGGAGAGAGAAGTGGTGGAGAGGCGAGGAGGGAGATAGGGAAGAGCGGAGCAGCGAGTGACGTTGGCAGTGGTGGAAGGAAGGCGGGAAACAAAGACGGTGGCTGAAGCCGCCGTTGCCATTACCGCTGAAAGACGAACTGGAACTGGGGAAGCTTAGGGATTTGGTTGGGTAACACACGATTGATGATTGAAAGCTACGAGAGAGCTGAGTATTACTATTAGAGCAGAAGAGGAGTTTGTGCAGAGATATCTTGTAACGAACAAAAACGAATGAAGGAAAGAGAAGCGAGTTTACGATATGCAGTTTAAGATTATAATCGGACATGATTTCAGGCGTTGACACGTGGACATCTTCCTCTCTCTGATTGGCTCATTTCCTATCCGAAAATCCACAATCTTTGCTCCCATTTTTGATGTCCTTCCCGTTCCTCCTCCACTTTCAGCATTATTTATTTATTTCATTTATTCATTCATACTCATGGCGGCAGAATTTGAAACTTACCAAATATTGGAACAATTTATGCTCTTTTTATGCAATATATTAAAAACGTATACTAAGAAGTGGGTGAATAAAAATAATTATGCCATAATAATTTTTTAAAATATTTTTTAGTTATCTTATATTTATTAGTGTAAAACACAAACTATCTCTAATATTAATTATAAGATCTCATTTGTAGTTTATATTCGAGGTTTTATAATTAAAACAGAGGTAGTATATCTTGTTGTTTTTTTATTATTGAGAATTAAAGACATAGATTGAATAATTTCATCTTTATTTTGATCATTTTTTGAATTATTTATCACTATAGTAAAAAAAAAAAGAAGCTAGTTTTAGGTTGAATTTCGTTACAAGTAATATGAAACTTTTTCATTTTCGTGTTAAACAAAGAAAGGAAAAAGTACACTCAGGTCTCACAAAAGATAATTAATTTTAAAAAAGTCTCTAGAAATCCCGAAATGATTCTGAAGTCCCTAAAGATCTTGTGTAATTAATTATAATTATGAAATTACTTATTTACTTCAATTAATTTTATTACAGCAATTCATTTACAACCTAATAGTGTCTGTTGACAACCCGAGTAGAAGTGGTTGACAACCTCGACAGTGCTATTGACAACTCACTTTGTGGGATGCCAAGGGCATTGCCGAGATTGTTAACCACCTCTCCTCAGGTTGTCAATAGCTACTGTTGAGGTTGTAAATGAATTACATTGGATTCAAATTAATGGGGTAAATAGGTAATTTCATAATTATAATTAATTACACACAGGTTCTGGGACTTAAGAATCATTTCAGGATTTTTAGAGACTTTTTTGAAATTAATTACCTTTTATGGGACCTGCGTGTAATTTCCTAAAAAGAAAAGCATATAAGAATTTTAATTCTGGATCGATCAGTTTCGAATTTCAGGGCCCATTAAAGAGCCCAAAAATTTTGTGGCAGGAAAATGGTCCAATCCTCTCCTTCCCCGTTTCCCACTCCTCTCTTGCCCTAGTCGTGATCGTGGACGTACTTCCGGAGCACCATTAGCCCCTCCATCTCCGAGCTCTCTGGTGGAAGAGTGTTAAGAGATCCCGTCACTGTTGCTGCAATTTATTTTTGATTGAAAAATGCTGTCTCGGCTCACAAAACTGAAGCCTCTGCTCCAACACTCCCTCGATTCTTCTTCTAGCTGCCAACTCATTCAAAGATGCTCTGTCAGCAGGACAGCGAAAGGGAAGGCGAAGATCAAAGCAGGACAAACTTTGAAGAGGTCCAAAATCACCACGAAGAAAGCAGGTGAAGAATCCCGAGGTGGCGGAGGCAGAGGCTCTCGCGAAAGACAAGAGCGTGAAATGCTGTACGACCAGTGCCTCAATGCTCCCACTCCTGTACGTTACCTCACTCAAAAGGATAGGGCACGTGAAGCCGAACGTGAGAAACTGGGTCTCATAAGCAAGGATCGGCAACGAGAAATTGACATGATGAAGCCCAAGAACTATGCTAAATACAAGGTTTCGGAGACGCCTACCATTATGGGAACTCCTGGGTTGGATTTGATAACGTTGGGTTTGGTGGACGAGGACAAGTTACCCAAGTATGAATTGACGGTGGAAGATGGGAGGAGGCTTGCGAAGGAGTATAGTAGGGTGTTGATGAGGAAGCACAGAGCACGACAAGCTGCGGAATCAACATTGTTGAGGTTGAAGAAAGAGGCTATTGAAGCATTGCCCGATCATTTGAAGGAGGCTGCTTTGGTACCTGACTTAACCCCCTTTCCGGCAAATCGTTTTATGGCCACTCTCACTCCTCCTATTGAGGGATACATTGAGAAAGTCAGAGAAGCAGCAATGAAGAGTAGTGGCACTGAGAAGATCAGATAACCCAAGGTCATTGCTATTAAAATTCGGCTTTTCTTCTCTTTATCATGTATTGTGGGGGTTTTCTTAAGTCCTATTGTTAAATATAATATAGGTTTCTCACCCCCACCCCTCCCCGCAAAAACAATGAGATAAGATTAGTTTCGTATCTGGGTTTATATGTAGGGTGAGAAACAAGTCTGAAAAACAAAATTCCTAGATGAGTACTGCCTAAAAAGTATGTTTGAGAATCTGATGAGATTACAACTGCATAAAACACATACTTGTTTTTCCTCGTGGCAGTATATCCAACTCTTGCTTCAAAAATCTTCAGCCCGATTACATTAAATTTATAATTTATGTTGTCGACCCTGATGAAATGTGTTGCTCGATGAGCTAGTAGCTTCTACAGATTGAAGGTTTTTAATTTTTTAAAAAAAAAATTTGGGGGAGGGGGTTGGTGGTGTTGGCGCTCCCCACTTTAGTGGGGAAAACTTGCGCAACAAGATGCCATGGAGACAAAGGTTACCTGCTGCTCCTTTGAAATGCTTGACATCTTGATTCTAGATTTAGAGATGGTTAAAACCAAGGAATTTAGACTTTGTGAAGCAGTTTACCATCTGAATGTGTCTATTTGAATCTGACGTGTGTCTTTTTAGCTCGGTAATTCATCTGCTTATCCACGGAAAAAGTTTGGTCCATTTATTCTGCCAAAGTTTCTTTGTTCTGGATGTTGATTCTGAGAATTGGGTTCATGCGGCATTGCCTCTTAAAAAATAGGCTAGTTTTCTCTTGCTGTACTTATAGGGTTATTGAATCTCTACTTGCGTCTTTCCTCACACTTCTTCGGTTTAAATAATCTATTACATTTCCAGAACATTGCTTGAAAATTTCTGTTTACTGGCCATTTTCTGTCCCCGCCTCAATCAACAATTGAAGTCAAAACAATTGATTGATTATGCCATTTCTTACCCATCCTGAAAACAATGTGATATCTTCATTTTTTGTCTACTTTATTTGAAGAAAAAGAAAACAGATTCAGAGCCTTAACCATATACATTATTATTCCGGTGGTATTAAGGTTGGTTGATTTGCATTCTATGGTCCGGACGCATATGTACCAAATTTATTGGACATGATTTCTTCATTTTAATCTGGATATGTTCAATATGGTGCAGACTGAGCTTTCGGATACCCATGGATCAGAAGCAGCGAAGTTGAAGTAGTTGTGTGGACATTGGAAGGAAAATATAGCGGGGAACAACTGATGTAATAACTTAGATGAACTATGCGGTTGTTCTTTGGTAGTTTCAATAACCTTGATTCTGGGTGATGTGGTCCACGCATGCTTGGTTTTAATGGGTGGCGAGTTGATCCAATCGTGTTCAAATTTGTTAGATATCTAGATCATCAGAGACTCGAGGGAGTCATGGAGCATAAGTTAGGAGCCTGTTTTGGACAACTTCAAGGCATGGCATTGTTTACGCTACTAAAATTACATGACTATCTTATATTATTAGATTCTTCAATAAAGTTATGGATTTTTGAAGTGAATTTGTGACACCTTACGCACATTATTGTTACCGAAAACCTGATATCAAGGGGTCTGGAAAATGGAACTTGAGTTTTGTCACTGTCTTGTTCAATAAAGGTCTAAATACAATGAAAATTAAGAAGGAACTCTTTGGGTTTGCATGAATTGAGGTCGATGGTGTTTATCATGTTGCTGCGTAATCAAAAATTTCACTTCTATTTTACGTGACCCTAAAGAAATGGTAAATATAATCATGACTATATTATTATTATTACTACTACTAACAGCTTTGGTGTTGGGCACGTGTCCATTTTAATTTTTCCAACTCTTGAAAACTTATTTGAATGATATTTAACTTAAAACATGAAAAATATAAGTCCTTCTAAACCGTTGCATGCCATCCAACAATTTTCTTTAGCAATCCTTCAACTTTAATGTGCGCGCTCGTAATGCAATTACAATGAAATTTATTGGTTAAACTACTCAAAATTTCATTCTGATTATGTGTGCTACTAAGACAGACAAGACGCAAATTTTATTAACGATTCCTTTCTCTTCTCATGGGTTGCCTTCCACTTTTCGTTGTTACATTTCGTTCCAGTCACACAAAAAAAAATGCGGTACGAAAAAAACTGAGAGATGCAGCGAAATTTGACGACAGAGTGGAAGGCATTATTTCGTGATTCCAACGTCCTATGATTCAGAGGCTCCTAAACTATACCATTCCCAGCTCAAAGACAGCCTACTCTATCATTTGACTCTCTCTCTCTCTCTCTCTCTCTCTCTCTCTCACACACACACACACATACACACACACATCTGACACAATGAATCTATCATTTGACTAAGAGATAAAATTGATGGAATCACCACCACCAACTACGTCTCACACGGATGTGTCATGATACCTCTGAATAGAAGAGAATGCTGATGAAAACGAACAGTCTATGCTTGTAGTCAAACAACTAATTAAAAGTATCTCGAGAGACACATCTGACACAATGAATCACACGCACACGCCCGCCTGCACACACACACATAATAGTAGCTCCAGCAGGCCATCAGTAACTCAGGAAGTACCAACAATTGATGACAGTGAGCATTGGCAAGTAAACCTCATCAAGGAATAACGATCAAAATCATTTAGAGGCACAACTGATTTCAATATTCTTAGTCGGACCAAAAACAAATATCACCCACCTCATCAATCAAAATAGCAGCCAGCGATGGCCAAAAGTAAAATCAACCATAAAGCAATAACAAACTGATAAAGAATTTACCCGCCTTTGGCATCATGTTTCAAAGACAAGGCAAGGCACAATAGATCAGCAGCTTTAAAGAATTGGAAGCCTCCCAGAAACGATTACACAGCACATTACATTGTACAGAGTCTAAAACTTGAGATGTTGGCAACTCATTTCCTCAAGATAAAAATAACTTGTATACTACACCAGAACAATAAGAAAAAAGCATGTCTGATTATATGCACTCGTTGAAGATCAGGATCTTCAGCATCAGTCAAACACTGTGCTTGAATTCCCGAAAACCAACCCGTCAAGCTAAACCAGACATTATGCTCCTAATACTCAAAATCTCATCCCTACTCTTGGTGCCACCGTTGTCAGCATATCTCATTTTCTATTTCATGATTCATATTTAATACAAATAAAATCAAGAACTACCAGTTGTAGGGAAAAGGTACAATACTCCGATAAAATATTATCACCAGACGCAGACTTATAATCCTATCACCCCATCCCAAAGGAATAAAGAAAGACGCTAAACAAACTACCAAAGAACATAGCAAAATATATGACCATAATCAGGGAAGCAAACAAAGAAATTCGTAACTCCTGAACATAGCAATCCAAATAGGAGATAACTCACTACCGTTATTGCATACAAATTCAGCATCCATAATCCATAGTACATAAAACCCCAGATATTTGTGAGCTTCAAATATTACATATCATATAGCATCATATAATCATTTTATGGAGAGATTCTTTAAAAATAAAAAAAGTAAAAAGAAGAAAAGCACATATTGAAGGGGACAGCGATTAGCGATATCGGAATCCCAACCAAAGTCCTTAAATTTTATCGATATCCTCGTCCTCGAACTCGATGTAATCGTTCCCGGCCCCATCATCCTCCTCATCCAATCCACCGCCAATACCCTCGTTGAGCCTGGTGTTATCCGGCAACTCCCCATAAGCCTTCAGCAGCCTAGCCTCATCGGGCATGTACTTGAGAATCACATCAGCCTTGTCGTCCTGATAGTCCCGGAGCCCAACGAGGATGATGTCACCGGCAGCAATCCACACCTTCTTGTGCATCTTTCCACGGATGTGGCAGAGACGCTTGGTGCCGTCGATGCACATGGCCTCGCACCGACCGTTTCCCAGCATGCGGAGGACCTGGGCGTATTCTTGGCCGTCTTCTTTGAAGACAAGTTCTCGCTTCTCATCGTCTGCTTCGTTCTTTCCCCTCTTTCGGTTCTTACCTCCCTTTCCCTTATTCTTCGGCATAGTTGATGATGCTAGTACTTCAGGGCAACCCTAAATTTCAATTTCCGGGACCTCTCTGTTGGAATTTCTCTGTCCCAAACCCTATTTCAATTGCGGTTCGCGAGCTGGATGCGCCTATCTCCGTTTTCTCTCTGTGAAATAGCGCCTGAGTTAGGGCATTGCGTGTAGAACTGAAATGGGTTGGGACTAATGGACGATACTACCCTTTATGCATTTCTTAATGTCGGCACTGTCCCAGCACGCGAACTCCTTTTTTTTTTAAAAAAAAAAAATTAATCAGAAGCACACGAACTTAATATTATTGAATTATATTATGATATTTTCATTGAAAATCTTGTATAGTAAACTTATTGATTATATTATCATATTATGCGTGCATTGATGACTTTAGTATTGATTTTTTACTAAGAATAAGTATAGATATTATGTACATATAATAATTATATTCAGCTCAAAAAAAAAAAATTATAAAGATAGAATCCGACATTGTTGAGATTTTATTACTCAATGATACCAAATGCATTTTAAATTTTTATTATTTTTATTATTTCTTGATATAAAGGCAATTTATTCAACCAAAAAACGAAACGAGTACAAGATTAAGTGCAATTTAAATTTTTACTAAATGTAAGATTATGAGTCTGTTGTAATTATATTATTATTATTGATTAGTATTTCAACAAGAAGGAATACTTTTCAAGTTGGCAAAAAAAGGGAATATTTTTTAACTTTGCCGTTTTATTTAAAAAGCAGATATAATAAAGTGATATGTCCTTCTTTAACTTTCCAAATTCCTTTTTGTTGGCTTGATAAAAGAATTGGATTCCGGATTGTCCACTGCAAAATTCCAAATCTCAGCCTCTCTCTCTGTCATTCATTCTCGGGATGGGATTCCCTAAAGGGTATGTGGAGATACAAATATTTGTTACTCCTCCGGTCCTTATTATAAGACCCAATTTGACTTTTTATTTGGTCCTAATTATAAGACCCAATCCATTTTCTCTTTTATATTTATGTATTTTTTTCCAAGATAATCCTTCTAATAATAATAGTTTTAGCTAATATACTTAATTAGTAAGGATATTTTAGAAATAACAACACTTATTTATTATAAATAACCAACTTAACTTACTTTCTTAATCTCCTCAAATAAGTCAATTGGGTCTTATAATTAGAACCGGAGGAGTACTTATTTTCAAGTACTCTTCTCTTTCTTTTTTGTAATGAGGTAACATAAATTGTGCAGGAGGAATTCAATTGGCGTGACTATACACCATGAATTTTTCAATACAGACAAAAGGTCACCGAAGGGCCTGGCCGAAGATCCAAACCAGGCACCATCTTATTGGCTCAAAAAGACCAAAAATCGACTGAAAATTTGAATTGCAGTTTATTAAGATTTCGTTAGCGTAAAACGCTCCGAAAACTCAATTCTTAACGGATATTGATTGAATGGATTCAATCCTAATGAATATTAAGAGATTTATTTCTGGGCGGAAGACAATAAGCCTAATTCATTTCTGATCTCAAGCGGAACTAATGACCCAGGGAGCACATTGATTATATATACATGATTCGATTCCAGATGCTTAACATGAACAGAGAAGGTCAAAGCTACCGCCTAGAATAAAAAGTTCACATATATGATTTATGGTTAGCGTCTGATGGTGAGCTCAGCCCTAAGGTGGAGGACACCGTTTATGAAGTAAAGGCTATCCTCGGCCATGAAAGACGTCCATGGAATTGCAAACAAGTTCCTGTATCCAACAGCCTTGCCCCCTGTGAATTTGTAGTTCCCTTTGTATTTGCTCACAAATTCCTCTGTTGGTCTCGACCTCGCAGCAAATTCATAGTCCACCGCGAAGCTCACTGACCCTTTTTCCTGCATTCCCAGAAACAGTCCAAAACAATGGAAGGAGCTCTGCTGGTCCATGTTGCAATGTGCTGAGAGGAAAAACCCTTGTCCTCCTAAATGAAATGCTTGAGAGTATACCCTTCCCGAAGGAAATAAGTTGGCACACTCCTCTCGCTTCAGGTCCAGGTACACCACACAATGCTGCCTGGGAAGTTCAAAATCCACCACCTTAACAGGTCGGTACTTGTATGCCCGCTCCACAAATCGGCGGTTCTTGGAAGCAGAATCCTCTGCAGCCAGCGACCGCTGCCGGTGCGGAGCCTCAGCCTTAAAAAAGAGGGCCTCCAGCACAAGCTTAGATGCAACTTCATGGTCAAAGTCAGTACAGGTCAGCACCTTCTTCAGCTTACGGCAGGTCATGTAGGGAAAGCGAATCAAGCATGCAAGCCTTGCACCCAGGATTTCTCGCCTTTCCTCTAGCTTGGGGTACTGGGTTCTAGCCCACTTCAGCACGAAGTCATATACAGCATCCTCTGATGCAACCTGGAGATCATCACCAGACAAAATTGCTTCAATTCCAGCCAGGGGCAGGGCCATTACCTCTTCCTGGAACCTGGTCATATGATAAACTTGTTGGAAATATTTAAAAATCAAAGCTACACTAAAATAACTCAATTCGAAAATGCTGAGAGCAAACAAAGTTTTTTTCAAGAATGGACAGCAAGAAGCCAAACAATTGTTGCTCAAGATTCCTAGTCAGAAGGCATGCGACATACTTATAATAAATCAACCTTTCTCTACAATACATCATTTGATCACCCTAGCATAATAGATGATAATCATTAACATTGAGCCAGCCTTGTCAGTTACGATATCATCAATGATGTAATGGAGGAATTAAAAAAATTGCCAGCAAATATCATAAGGAACTTTATCAACCAAAGGGGGAAAGCATCCCAACCATAAAATGAAGTTGAAAGAGATGAATGCAAAACACAACAATAAGGTGGAAATGATTTTGATCAAATTTTAATATCACCAGCACCTAGGTAAGGATGAAAAAAGGAGCAACTACTAGTTCATTAGACTAAATAGCAGGGCAATATAACAACATATTTTAAGCTTCCAAAACAAAGAACATGCAACTTGAGTTGCATCATAGCTTACTTGGTTATATCCTTGTATCGTGTGGCAAGATACTGCTTTGCCGCATCAGTGAGTGGCTGGACAGCATCAGCCATCAAGACGCTGGAAGGAAGCTCCAGGTAAAGCAATGCAGACTCAGGTGTCATAGGCATATTCCGCAATAATCTGCTACAATATCTCATGCATGAAGCCACTTCAAATTTATCAGCAGCCATCAACACATCCAGCAAAGCAGGTGCTGTAGAAGTGAAGGAGCCTAAGGTATTACTGTACATAAAATTCAGAAGCTCCATAAGGGCAGCCTCCTCTGTAACGGGCAGAAGCATTGACACTTGTCAGGTCAAAATCTTGAAGAAATATCTAAAACGGTTACATAATGAGGTGGCAAATAGTCTTTTCATGAACAATATATACCAGATGCATTAATTCTAATGGTGACATGCCTTTGCTCAGACTCCTTCATCCCATTTGAGAAAAGCTACACAAATTAGACAAAACAAAAAAGCAATCAACAAACTCAGATTTAGCAAAAGAACTCAAATCGATGCCCTTTAAAGAACAAAAGTCCACCTTATAGAAGAAAGGACTTTTGGCAGCCAGTATAGGAGAACTGATATGTAGTGTTTTAACCCTCACAATTGTAGAGCAATCCATGCTCCAGCTTGAGTCATTGCTGTTTGCAGCTTCATCACCTTTGAGAAAAAAAAAAAAAAACCAAATTGAAAGTGCGAGTTACAATATAAAAAAGGTAACTTTAGAAGTAGAAGAACTTGAGAAGGTATCTATTACCCAGTCTCAAGCACAGGAAAATTTTTAAAATTGTATTTACATATTTCTCTAAAAAATTATTATTCTTTTCACTCATCACTTTATCTTTTCCTACCGTGCTCTTGTTTAAACTTCACTCACAATATATAGTGAGTGATCTTCTAGTATTAAGCAATTCATAGGGACAATGTACAAAGAGAGATAAAAACTCATCAATTGAAAAGATAGTTGACCAGCAAGCAAAGAAACAAGAAGTGGAAAATATAAAAGGTAAAGCATTTCAGAAAAGGGCACATAATCAAGAAACTAGGCCCGGTGTTTCGTAGTCACTGGAATACCTGAAGCGCATTCTTCAACCATTGCAACTGCCTCTTCATCTTGATTTTCACAGGGTGCGCAGTCATCCATATCTGGTTGATTGCCATTAAGAATTTGTTCATCAGGCAATACTGTAAGATCTACAACTGCAAGCAAGAGAGCATGTATTAGTTATATTACATGAAGAAAAAGGGAAACAGAGACAAATAATCAAATATTAATCAACATGAACAGCAACTTATAGGGTAACAAAATGAAGCGAGTTATATTTTAGTGGAGTTTGGATCCTATTCATGGCAATGCTAACTCAATTACATCTAACTTAACGGAATCATGTATTCTGGGTTCAAAAATACTCAGTGTAAATGACTGAGAAAATTCCTTCAAGCAAAACAAATTAGCACTCTATCCAATGTCCATAAGCCCTCCACGCAATCAAAAACCACAGAAAAAACAATCGGAAAAAAGACTTTACACTGGCTTTCTAATCGTGAGTTATATTTCACGAACTCAACCTTGGATCACCCAAAACAAGCGAAGCAATCCATTTACAATTATAGTTTACTAAGTAACTAACCTATAAGGCTCAGGTATTAAATTCCTAAGCAGCCACGAGGTAAAGAAAATGTCAAGGATGAATTATCTCGGTCAATATTTACATTCAACTGAGTAGTGAGTTACGAGTAAGATAATAGAAACATCATCTTAGAATTTCCATGAACATTGACGCGGGGTAGTTGACTGCGTTTTTAATTTCGTCCTCAAAGTTTCGACACACCCTCTTATCCTTACTTTTTCAATAAACATAGGGTACACCTGTTCAATAACATGATTATTTTTGCTCGGAAGCACCCCTATGGATTCAGGGCTACAATTAAGAAACCCCGATCCTATGAGATGATATTGAATCCAGGAACAACCGGAAATCTTTTTCAATTCATGTGCTAAAGCCCTTACACAACAATCGGCAGCACAAAGGCGGACAACCAACTAGTCCTACAACTAAAAATAATCATCGAACGACTTATTTCAAATCCATCTCATTTCTTAGTCTCGTTTCAGTAAATTTCAGCTTTTTTGAACAATCTAAATTGAAAAAACAAGCCACAAAAATTGGCTCCTTTCAATCGTCTAAAATATCAAGCAGATGACACAGAAGACCAAACCAAAGAACACAAATCCAAATATCTAGAGTTCGAGAAATACCATTATCCTTCTTGATATCTTCTCGCCTCCTCTTCCGATGGCGAGCCCAGTCGGCGATAGTGGGACACCCTTCAGAATCGGGCCTTGCCTCAACAGAATCACCGATAATTTCGATCCGGAGAATCCTATCGGAGAAGTTACTGTCATTAAAAGCGAACCCAAAATCGGCATCCGAGGAAGAAGCACGACAAGAAAGATCGGACTCCATCACCGTTCCCGTGTCAAACAGATCCGAGTTTAAACCTCTCATTCTCCAGAACCCCTCCAACTTTTGCTAGATTCCACCAAAAATCAGCAGAGGAATGGAAGAACAGCAAGGACTTGAAAGAGTAGAAGGAGGAGGACGGTCAGAGAACGTGAGAGAGCCGCGCAAACCCTAGATGGCTGTACGTTGGCAGAGACTACAGAGAGGAGGGGGAAGATCCTCTGAGGTTACAGAGGTAAGAAAACCGAAAATGAAAAACAACAAAATTAATGCATGCCGGAACTCCTTTTGTTTGTAATAGGCCTATTCGAAAAGATTTATTTATTTGGTATTTGTTTGGTTATGACTTGATCCTATTTATAAAAGTAATTTTCAACATATTTTGTAAAAGTTATAGAAAACTTTAAACTTCATTAATTCTAATTTAAGATTTAACTACATTTTAACTTTATACCTATTTAATATACTATATGTCTTATGTAAACAAAGTTGGCACAATAATAAATAAAAGATGAAATTATGCATCTATATAAAAAAATTTTCTCAGTATCTTATAAATAAGACCAAAAAATATTTTTCTCTCTGTCCTATAAATAGGACTAGAGAAGTACTTCAGAAAACTTTTGACATAAAAATTACTTAATTAAATTCGGCATATTAAAAAATTAAATATTTCAGTTAATTATAAAAAAAAAAGTGATATGATTTCCTGCAGCATATGTATATATGCTAATTCTGAAGGTAAATTAGTTTTTAAAATAAAAAAAAATTAAAATTTTATGTTTAAAATAAAGGGAAAATTAATCTTTTGGTCCCTATAGTTTTCACTCATTTGTAACTCAGTCCCTATACTTTGACTCGGTGCAACTCAGTCCCTCTAGTTTTGACTCGGTTGTAACTCAGTCCTTGAAGTTTGACTCGCTGCAACTCGGTCCCTATAGTTTTAACCATTTTATAATTTAGTCCCTCCTTTTATTATATATATAATTTTATTTTTCAAAAACACAAGGACTAAATTATAAAATAGGTAAAATTATAGGGATCGAGTTGCAGCGAGTCAAAACTAGAGGGACTGAGTTGCACCGAGTCAAAGTATAGAGACTGAGTTACAAATGAGTGAAAACTATAGGGACCAAAAGATTAATTTTCCCTAAAATAAAATTTGATAAAGCATATGCTAAAGACTTGAGATTCTTCAATCTTGTGTAGATATTTTATGCTAGTGCGCGGTTGGAGGGTTGAAATTTTTGGTTGATTTTTCCCCTTCTGAATGTCTAACTAGTTCTTCCCCATTAATTGTTTTCCTTATTTCGGTTTGTATTGGTATTACAACTAATTAGGGTTAAGCATCAGTTGTGAGTTAACAGATTGTTAATTAATTACTTATATTGCCATTTTGGAAATCAAGTCCCAGTCACGTGCACATCTACTGAGCATGGGGCCATTTGATTTATATATGTGGGGCGATCTCATGCCATGAAGAAATTTGATCTATGAGGATGGGGGGAGGGGAAGCAAAATTTGTTCAAAAATTGAAAAGGTATGGTTACAAAGTTTTGATAAACAGAAATATGATAATTAAAAAATGTAATCCCATTTTTAAAAAAACTCATTAGAATTTTCTTTCATCTCCTCATTTCCCTCCATTTTCCTCATGGCTGGAGATGAATTTGAAATAAAATAAAATATGATGAAAATAAGAGTGCATGTATGAGATTGGAACACTAAAAACAAACTCAAATACTAGAATAGCAAAATAGATAACTGTGTCAAGAAGCTAAGTAGAAGGTAGATAATGAAGAGTGATGTATAGTGCACATTTGATATGCAAATAGTGCCATGGATTATTTGTAAAACAAGAAATGAAAAGGTAGATGAATTTTGTGATCTTTGTTGACCAAGTATTTTACCGTGCAAGAGGCATTTTGGTCACGGAGCTTCAACTAAAAGACATGAAGAGTGCCAGAAAAAAACTTGAATGAGAAATGAAAAGGCAAATGAAACAAGAACAAGGATTACGAGAGTGAAAATGTAAATGGTGTCTTTGAATGAAAATAATGCAAATAATTTCTATTTAATTGAATTTCAACAATACAAATAACAGAATCAATTGTCAAAAATTTGACTTTGAACCCACGAACAAGACTGGAAAATTAGGGCATTCCACAAGACCTGCCAAACAATTCACCAACAAACCAATTGACAATATTCAATTCAAATCCTGCCTGAAGATAGAAGGTTGTCATTTTGGACATTTCAAATTCATGCTAATGAAAAACAAGCATCTATTTTTTTTTTTTTTTGTACGTGTATTATGTGTTTCTCATTAAAATTATAACAAGTAGAATTGTCGTAAAAGAGTACATTAGATGTTCCCCCCAACAGTTGATGTAGCATTTTTATTCATAGACTGGGCCTTCTGTTTTCTGGGCCAGTGATTGGGTAACCTGCTTGGATCAACGGGCCATTTTACTTTATACTTTTCTCTCTTTCCTCTTCAAGTCAGGGATGACTTGGCCCATTTCCTTTTACTCACGATGAGCATCACCCGAAATTAATGCAAAGCAGTATGTATAAATTAGGGCCCATTAATTGAGGGATTATCCAAACAACACAATAATGGTTTTCCTTTTGTACCAAAAAATGATTTTCCTTTTTTTTTTTTTGGGTACAGAACACCACAATAATGTTACAGTGCCGTTTGGATGAGCTATGATTTTTGAATTTTTGAATTTTTTAGAGAAAAAAAATTCGATAAATTGGGTGGGATGTTCACTAAAAAAATAAGTCTCTCTTTCAGATATGAAAGGCATTTATAGATTGTGAAGTATGAGTTGTATTCTTATAATTTCAGAGTAATCGCTTACTTGTTACGATTTTAATTGTAACAATGAGAATCTAGATTTAGATTATCGCTAATGCAAAAGGGGTTAAGTGACTTTAAAATAAAAGGAGGGGGTGTGATTTTTAAAGGAATCGAATTAATCCCGATTGTTAAAAGGTGGTATATCTTCCCTTAAATTAACTACAATAACATCCTTAGTTGGCATCCATTTATGTAGGAATTTGTCCAAATTACAAGAGGAGTATCCTATTGTTTCGCTGTATAAAAGTTCTGAATATACTCCATTGTACTTCTTTTCTTCAGTCATCTATTCTTTTAAGTTATGCTCACTCATTTTAGGATTTGACCTCCTCTTTATATTACACAAATCATGCGCAATGACATACAAACTAGATCTTATATTTAGCAACATCGAAAGTAGTATTAGATAACTTAATTTTTTTTATTACATCACAAAGCATGTAATTCTCAGACAAGGCGGGTGTAAGATTCCAACCTGGTGCGTGCATAAGTGATTCTCAGTTTCGCTCATCTCCGGTTCTCCATAGAGAGTGATGTCAGATCTATATGTTAATTAGTTGTGTTAAACGAGTTGTTACAGATAGATACTGCATTGATTATTATATTTAATTGAAGGATCCATCCGATCAATCACGAATTAAATACTTCTTCCTTCCTTCATGTAAGACTTAATTAATTAATTTAAATACATTAAGGATATTAGTTAAATTAGTTAATATTTTTTTCTTAATTTTCTTTCTCACTTTCCTACTTAATTTTTGTTGTGGGAATATCAATACAGTTAATTTTGGAAAAATTTAATAAATATGTGAATGGGTCTTATATATAAGATTACTATCAACTTCTTAATTAGTTCCTACATTAAGTAGTGGAGGAATACATCAGAATATAGAGACGAGCAGGGATTCAGAAGGCAACAAGAGGATAACCTTCACAGGAGATGAAAATAAAACGTCTACTTGGGAACATATACCTCAATCTCACAAATGTGAACATTAATTTTTGTAGTGTGGAGTAATTTATTAGCCTGGTGGTATAACTAAACAATGCTCTCCTCGAATTTAGTAATTCACTAAAACATAAATCTAATATTCTAAGACAGAGAGTCACCATATTATTATGATGGAGATAGGTGACAACTCTCATCTCTACTGTCACTATATAAAAGCCAACATCTGGGTCACTGAGTTTTTATCTTGTTACTTGACGAATTTCAACTAGTTCAAAGGGGTGTTTGTCAACCCTTAGAAGTGCTTCTCAAAAGCATTTTTCCATATAATGAAATAAACTTCTCCCCATATTTACTTCGTAAACTGTAAAAACACTTTTGAAATCATAGTTTGGTTTCCATCCAAACACCCCCTAAGTCTATATTGTTAGAAACAGTAAAGTCATAGTGGTTATCCGATCCCCGAGTAAAGCTCTGAAAGTGGATATACATATCAGATGCATGCATGCATGGGGGAAAGCAAGTAATTAAGACTCATTATTAAAAGGAAAGAACATGAATAGGCTCCTCGCTTGCTGCCTCCTATTATAAATATAAATACTTAGGGTTTTCGCTATAGGGAGACACAAGCAACAGTCATAGAAAGGTTTAAAAAACTCTGAAGCTTGATAAAAATGAAGAGAAAGGGATTCTGTTCTCGATTTTCCACACCCAAGGTAGAGGTCAAGAAAGAAGTGGTTCCTCCGAAGGCTGTAGAGATCAAGAAAGAAGTGAGTCAAGAGGGTGTGAAGCCGAAGACGGAGGTGAAGAAAGAAGTGAGTCAAGAGGATGTGAAGCCGAAGATGGAGGTGAAGAAGGAAGAAGCCATTGTGAAGACATCCAAATTCTGTGGTGGTCGATCATGTGGCTTTGCAGGCAAATGAATGCATCGGGATCACTTAGCATGAAAATGTAATTAAAGGGGGGGTGATGCTGAGGTTCTAGTTTTCCTTTATTTCCCATTTCTTCTTCTGTTTTCTCGGTCCTTCTCTACGTTCGTGGGTTTGGGTTTATTTTGTCTGCTTTCCACACCCCTCATGAAATAAATTAAAGCAATATCTAGTTTTTTTTTTTTTTGGCTCTCTGTCTATTGTTTCTTTTCAGTAATGTCAATTATACTGCGACAAAAACGACATGGAATCTGAGGTTGAGGCCATTTCTTTCTTTCACGTGTATATAATCGTTAGTACATATATGTTCATAGCAAATATGACAACAGGTCATCAAGTATGCACTAGGCTTGGATTTGAACAGATTAAGGGTCATATATGGAGTGTGAGAAGCCCATGTTGTGTATTTATGCATATTAACAAAAACAATTTATTATGTTTATTTTAAATTAATTGTATCAACTTGCTAGATTATTTAATAATTTTTGGCCCATCCATGCATT